CCTGGGCGCCGGAGGCATGCAGTTTGTGTAAGTGGTCTCCAGTCCGGAAACAAACTACCGTCCTCCAAAACAGTCGCTAACAGAGGCCTCAAGGGACCCCTTATTCCAACGTACTCTCGTCAACACGGTCCGCGAGTCCTCCCATCTCTTTGGCGAGTCGGCCCTCTCCGCGGACGAAGCGCAAGACCCTAACGAATGGACTGGTCTCCCTGTCGTCTTTGACGAAGTCTTCACGGGGCTCTACCGCCTTGGCCGTTTCACGCCCTCCTCCTTCCTGGGCGTGCACCCCGACATTTCCGTTCACGCCAAGCTGCTCACTGGCGGTCTTGTGCCGCTGTGCACGACGCTTGCGTCGGAAAACATCTTCAAAATCTTCCTCAGCCCCGACAAGACGGACGCTTTGCTCCACGGACACAGCTACACCGCCCACCCGATTGGATGCCAGGTTGCTCTAGAGTCGGTCAAGGAGATGCAGGACATGGAGAACCGTGGGGAATGGGACTGGGCAAAGGCACAAGGGTGGACGCAGCAGCAGTCTAGCCAGAGTGAAGCGCAGATTGACGTGTGGTCCACGTGGCCGAGGGAGTTTGTCGAACGGCTGTCGCGCCAGACGGACAAGGTGGCTGGGGTATGGGCTCTGGGCAGCGTTTTGGCAATCCACCTGAGAGATGAAGCTGGCGTGGGATATAGTAGCAACGCCGCCCTGGGGTTGAGGGAGAGCTTGGGTCTGGGCAGAGCAGACGGAGAGGGCGGCCCCTGGAACGTGCATAGTCGTGTGTTGGGAAATGTCTTGTATGTAATGGCTAGTCAGGTAACGTCCGAGACGAGTGTGAGGCAGCTTTCCGAGCTGTTGATGGAGAGCCTTGCGGGGAAGAAGTAATTGTAATGACGATGCAATTACATACAACATACAGCTATATAACAATCCTTGATGCACCCTCTCTCTCTCTCTCTCTCTCTCTAGGCCAACCCCCCGTTATCCCAAGACTAAACCTGACCCCATAGCAACCATCAAGATGAGAAGAACTTCAAAAGCCAAAAGAGAACAATGCAATGGACCAAAAAGCCACAGTCCAAGCCCACGAGCAGCACTCCCCTTAACCGTGGCAGGAACCACACTGCCCGTAGGAGTCCCAGTGACGCTCGAATTCAGAGATGCGGCGGCACAATAATTCTGCGTCCGAGTAGCATTGGCGGCAGCAGACGATAATAGCTCCTCTCACCCCACTAGAGCGGGCTCAATGGTCGCATCCACATCCAGAAAGCTCTCCTGCAGCAGCTCCAGCATGTCCTCTCTTCTCATGAGGCTGCTCAGGAGACTCTTAGTGACAGAAGAGCCACACTCATTATGGTTGTGCGCCGACTCGTCGCGCTTGGAGAAGTGAACGCCGGCAGTTGGAACCCAGCAGTTATCCTGAGCACGGCCAGCGCGTAAGGCGCAAATCTCTGTCTGTCGACACATTTCGGTGCACTGTTTGTCAGCTTGCCAACCTCGGGACTTGCGAGTCATGTAGAGATCGAACGCGGTCTGATTATTCTCAAAAGCGACGGTGACGTTGTGCCAGAAGGCGGGGGATAGGTCTGCTTTGGGCTCTGTGAGACGGGGCTCGACGAGTTCACTATACGCCTCTTTTGCCGAGTAGTACTGCTTCCACGTTGGACCACTCGTCTGGAAGCTTTGGTCATCCATATCGGCAATGTAGGTTTTGGCATCAATGACTTCAAAAGTCTCTGCGTCTACGTCGTAGACCCGAAAGGACGGCATGCCGGCTGTGGGCGTTAGCGAGGGGCAGATGTAGGAAATCGCAACGGCATTGTCGTGAGTACGTTCAGTATAATTGGAGTAGCTGATTTCGAAATGATCAAGGTGGGTATGGCCAAAGAACATGGCCTTTATGGTCTTGGAGTAGCGGTTGACAATCTGATCGAAGTAGTTGGAGCCGTTGGGCAGAGCGTCTGCATCTCCCATGGGCATGTGGCCGATGATATACACATTCTCGCCGATCATCTCCGCAGCATCGAGTTCCTTGATCAACCATTCAAACTGGCCATTGGGGTCCTTCTCAAGCACTTCCTGGTACAGCATAAAGTTGAGTCGGTAGTACATGTTGGTGTTGAGAGAAATAATTCGAAGATTGCCCTTGGGGTACCTGGTGGAGTAGGCACCAACGGCCCGGGCCTCTACCATGGATGAGTTACCAATCCAACGAGACCACGCCCTGGAAAGGCTGTCATAAACCCATTGAGTTTCGTTTCCTATGGACACGGGTTCAAAGATGTTTGGTGGGTGAACCTCGTGGTTACCAGTAGTTCCATACACAATATTGAGGTTCTCAGTCATCATCTCATACGAGTGTTGGATGAGGTCTTCGTTATAAGACTTGCTGGTATTCCAAAGACCGTGGTCGACAATGTCGCCAGTGAAGAGAGAAAAAGCAGCCCGTGGAAACTCTTTTTTGATGAACTCGTACATGCTCTTCTCCAAAGCAATCGGAGAATCACATGCGTGATCGCCAAATGGTCCCGCGGGATTCCTCGTCTTGCCCGGCTTGTCATTCTCAGTGTAGGACCGACAGCATGTGGGTTTGCCACACTTGGTGTTGGATCCCTTCTCATATAAAGGGTCCACATGAATATCCGAGAAATGAACAATCTGGATAATGTCCCTGTCTTCGTCTTTGAGGATCTTGTCCTTGGCCCCATGGCAACACTTCTGGGTCGTAAACCCGATATTCCATTCATCGATTTTTGGGGCATCACACACTCCGAGAAAACTCATACAGAAATGGATACACGAGTCGGACCCAACTTTCATGGTTCTGATTATGGAAGCAATCGAAGGTGCCTCACGCTCGACAACTCCAGTGCAGAATTCCTCGTCGTAGGACTACAAAGTATTAGTTTTGCGCAAAAAAAGTTGTGGTGCAGCTGGTACTGACACTGTTTATTTTGCAGAGCTTTTTGCCCAAAATGACGAGGGCTGCGTCTCCAGTCTTGACCAAAGCCTTGAGGACTGAGAGAACCCTCTGAATCATCATCGTGTTAGCCCTCCCTACCGGCCAAAGTCCATGAATAACGTGGGAAATACGGGAACGCCAACCTTGCAGCCGTTACAAGTCTTCAATTGACCAGCTAGACTGGTTAAATCTCGAGTCTCGCGTGCCCATGTCCGTGCCTCCAATGATCGTTGAAGCTTCTCGTGGTCCAACTCTGCAGCTGTCAATCCAAAATTGCACGCCGCCAAGGCCGACAATATGGTCAAAAGACGCATCTTTGTTATTACTTTTGCGTATAAGGCGCAGAAACACACGACCGGCAGCGAAATACAAAGGCCAAAAAAAGAACGGGAGAAGGAAAGTGGTAGGGCCTCAGGCTGAAGCGAGAATCAAAAGCAGGAGGAGGATACCAACACATCTGAACGCATTACCCCATGGGACAGGCCCACCGGCTGATTTAGTCCGGGGCGACATGAAAAGCTCCAAGTTAAAGAGGCTCGGCATCGTGGCCAGGCTCATCCCGAGCCGAGCTAGGAACGCCAGCGTCACCGGAACCTAACTCAGTACACATTAGCCCACTTACTCAATTTAAGTAGTGGTATGTATAATATAACATATTGGTAGTAGTAAGTACGTGTAATATAACAGAGTAGATTCGATATTGCGGGGCTAATGAATCATGAAGGGGCCCCCAGAGGGCGATAGAAAGGCAAGATCGTGGTGTTGCGGAGTTGAGGAATCAGGATGCTAGCATGGGTCTGGGCACATGGCACATGGGTACGCGGGTACGCGGGTACAGCACAATGCTTTTATTCTGGTGCACAATGCCCTGTGCATGGTTACTAGAATGCATAATTCGGCTCATGCAATAGATTGACTTTACATAAAGTATGTTCTTGTTGGTTACCTGCCAGGCACCTGCCAGGCACTGCGGCCATGATAAGCCAAACTTCCAAACACGGTTCTCGCCCTGCTCTGATTCGTCTGCGCCACCAGGAGTGCCAGGGCCTTTGTAACCGAACCACACACCAGACAGCTTCGCTTCGAGAGTGTAGAGCCTCCATGTCGCTTCTTCCAGCCGAGCGTACGAATCGACCAACCAACGGGGGAGCTGGCCGCTACAAGACCCGCCAAGGCCTCAAGCGCTCCATCTGATTCTGGGGGGAGTGTAGTGGCGTCGGAGACAAATCGACCAGAGTCAGTGGCCAGACGGCTCGATGTTGCCAGGCTGCGATCTTCTTCCAGATATCACACCACCAAACTTTGAGGACACGCTAGGCACGCCTGGCTTCAGTACCGGACATACACTTCACTGTTCATCAATCCATTGGACTGCATATTGGACCAGACCCTCTTCGCTTCGAGCCGAGCCTACCAGGCAACAAGGCTGGCACCCATTGGCATACGACCGAGCCATTCACATCGAGGTATAGCAGACGAGGACCTAGAAGACATGATATTACCATGCATGCACGAATGAATCCCATCAACTACGACCACGGGCCAATAGCGAACCGTGACAGTATCTGTGTATCCGATGGCACTTTTGTGAGGGGCGAAGCACACATATGCCTATTGAAAGTACCAGTTAACCTCAAAGGTATATACTTCGACTACCCCTCTGTCTTTCCTAGGGGCCATCCTTGGAGCTATAGAATCCGCTTCGTACATGGCTAGCTTGTTGCCCAGCTAATCCTTCGACTCTGGAGCGCCTTTTCCTGTTTCCTTTCTTTTCACATTCTATCAAACCTCCAGGCTACATTGTTTGGCAATCATTCATGCCATTGCCTTTACCATGGGTCGTTTTAAGGCGCCTTCTCACTTCACCTCCCGTCCACACTAGTGCCAAGCGTCTCCATGAGTGGCATATCAGCTTCGTTCAACATATCACGAGCACATGTGAGGCACATGTGTAATACCCAATGTTGACATTTGCCCACAGTGGCTTCTCAGGCATCGTCAAACTCATCATGTCGGACACCACCGCACTCGTTCCATATCCCATCAGTCCAGCTCTTCTTGTACCCAACCACAGTGCAGTTCATAGCCCACATTCAGATAAGCCACTTCTGGACCAGCATGGACCGCTACTCGACGCACTCGAGCTAGGCCGTCGATGTCGGTGCTCGACTTGACGATAAACTCGCCTTCTTCGAGGGCAATGACTCTCTTAGCAACCTTGGCTGCCATCTTGCTATTCCATATGCCTTCTTGAATGTGGTTGGTCTCCATGATGTCTATCGCCCGTCGTCGCACTTCCGGGTCTCGGCATTTGGAACTTAAAAAGAACAGTGCTGGCAGTATGCCAACTTCCATATAAAATTGCGGTTGGTTATCGGCTGGTACATTTGCAGCATCAAGCCCGCCCGCCTCTGTTGCAAATTCGACCATTTCGCGGAACTGATCTGTCCACAAATCCCACATCGATGGATCTTCACGGTCGGGTTGATTCAATGCCGCGATATTGATATACAAGTATCGTCTGTGTAGTTCTAACAGTGCAAGCGCCCGCTTGTCCGTTGAGTTCAGGCTGTTCCGGTCAACGGCCCTGCGAAACTCATCAAACGCCTCCGTCCAAGCGTCGAATCGGATGCCCAAAGCCTTGGATTGCGCCATCGTCATATCGCGTCTGTATTGCAAGGCAAGCTTGAGCAAAGAATCCCGCGCCTCTTGAATTGACGACAGTGTTGGCTTAGGTGTCATAGTTACCATGCGAAGCTTTAGCATGGGCGAAATGATGTCGGCAAGCTTGTGATCAATATCACCCCCGATAGCCTCAACCCGAGTTAGTCGGTTATAATACGCGTTTAGGGCCTAGAGCTCACTCACGAGAAAGACTTGAGTCGATATACGAGCAAAAAAAGCCTCCACAAGCCTAATAATGGGCTCAATAGATATTCCCGTAGCGCCGCCAACGTATCCGCCTTTTCTGACTTGCTTCATAGCCCCCTCGATCATTCTACAGCCGTATTTGAAGAGATACATGGCATTACTTATATTCCTCCGGAGAATCTAGTAGCATGTAAGTCTTGCGACCTTCTTGTTGCCAGCCGACTTGCGATTCTTACCTCAATGCAGATAAATATCGTGCAAGAAACGAGTTGAATATGGAGATATGACGGTCGGTCAGCCCCGGATTTAACAAGCTCGCTAATCGCCAAATTGTATTGACGCAGGCCATATGGCGTTTCAACGCCCACATCATGGCTCCAGTACCGCTCATGATATGATGACAATGCAACCAAAGCATGTCGGATGCAGGTGTTAGAATGGGCCAGTTGGAGGACTCGGCTACTCCACAAGTCGTCTGGTGCGAATGTTCCGAATTGTACAGCAGTGCGCTCTACGAAGAACCGCAATGCCCGGACTTCTTGGGTTGTGCCGGATGAAGAAGCAATGCGAGTCAGAGTCAGAGACGGCGTGGTGACGCCCGTCGCCGGAGGACCATCATATCCGTCGCAGATGCGGCCAGTCTTGCAGCCTATAGAAGACTGTCAGCTTGCCATCTTGTCTCAAAATCAGCCTATGGGGGTTACCTCACATCTTTCACACGCGGGGCGTCCCTCGTCGCACTTGATCCTGCGAACTAAGCTCAGATGTCAGCATTCCTCTTCACGCGATAAAAAAGGAGAGGGCCCTATGCAGACTTCTATTGGACACTTGAATTAGATTGAGGCTTTCAGACGAGCAACGGAACAGACATTAGACTAACTTGCATGTTTTGCAGCCCGTTCGTACTTTGGGGGCCATGGCCCTCTGGCGTTCGCCTGGTTTGACTCGAGGCATCCTCAGCAGGGTGCTTGTGTCATCGAGACGCTTTCAGATACATGTACACTTTCGTTGCAATAATTGGCTTATTTTGTCGATGTTTGCGCGATCTACACATGGCACCCGTGTACTGGTTTTGCGCATCGGGTGTGCCATGGACCATGAGGACGACGTAAATTTCAGGACGTATCTCGTAGAGTGAAGTGGTCAAACTCTACTCCACAAGTTTGTGGTAGAATTTCCCCACAGAAAGGACAACTTCAGATTGGGGAAGCAGTCCGAAGAACCCTGGTGAACCTCCACTTCACATGCCGAACGACGGCACTCTCCGATGATGCAGGGCTTTGGGTTCTGCTCTCAGCTGCTCCAGAGTCCATAACAAAGCAGTTGTGCTGTGAGGCAGGATCAATAAATAGTCTATCTTATGATATTGGGTCGTTATAGACCGTGACGATTCATTTCCTTGGCGTTGGCCAACCCTGGCATTTGTGCTGTACTGTACACATTGGTTGCTACTAAGGCCGTCATGTCAATCTTTGCCAGTGGAAGCAGAAATTGCTGCTTCTAGCCTGCGTCGGAAATGTTCCCTGTCGGCCCAGCGAGCACGCGCCATTCTGGAGCAATGCTGTTCCTCGTCGACAAACACTGACTTGGGCATGGGAGCAGGGATTGTGAAGTCCAATACCCAGCTGTATGATGCGCCTACCAGTCCCCAAGGCTCAAACCGAATTGCTGCTCGTCGTCCGTTGACGGATGGACATGTATATTCCGCATAAAGACGCCGTGTATTGAGGCGTGTTTGAAAATCCCAAGGGGCTTGTTTATCCCGTATGTCGTACCAGTATGGCCACTTCCGATCTGTGGCGAGCATGAATATCACTCGTGGTTGAGTCGACAGATATTTTCCCCGAGTATATTGAAGTTCAAGCATTTTGATACAGATGCGTCTAGATTACAATTAGACTCAAATGAAATAGCAGAGGACACTTGAACCCTGATTGCGTCGGCGGAGCTTCTGAAAGTCGACCAGATTTTACCAGAAAGATGGACGGAGCGTTCCTGTGTGCACCATGCTTTGGTTTCTCTTCACAATAAGTGGACAGCCGAGTGTGCGACCAGAGTACAGATACTCCAAGGCTGCCGCATATAGAGAGAGGCGGTATGTGAAGCTATTCAACAGACTGCAGTGCCTTGCTACATTTGATACCCTGCAAACTTTGGACTTTGAGGAGGAAGGAGCGACACACTGTTGGTCCCATCAACACAATTCTCAAGGCATTAGTCAGCGTCAAGGGAACATTCACCGTTGGCTCACTGAAGCTACAAAAACGTATTCTCTTCTCCGAATCCCAGGGCTGACAACCAGTTGACCGGGCATTTGCAGCGAACCGAACCGATTCATCTGCCGCGCGTCTGCCATCGGAAGTAGCCTCTGCAAGATGCACGAGCACAGCAAAATACGAAAGGGTCCAGTAGGCTGCAAGCTGCTGTTGACGGCTAGGCGCATGCCGCACAGTGGATTCCAGCGCTCCCAGATGTTGGGGACCCATTGAGACGAAGCGTCGACGTTGCTACCCTAGGTATCAAACAGTCCGGTCCTGTTGAGCGGACTCTTCGATCCAGGGGTACCGCGAAGTGCCGCTGATGGACTCCGACTCGTGAGCTCCCTACGCCATCGGATCAAGGCAGGACCTGTGTCGTCATTGGTGCGCGAGATGCGGTAGACATCGACGGAAGTGGCCTGCCGATATCTATTCCCGAGCAGCCCACCCTTCCTGACGTTCCGTCTGGCCAGTCCGCATCAGCTGCATTCCCCGCAATGTCGAGAACGCTCCGTGTGGGGTTAATCGACAGCCACTTATACACAATGGATTGCAATTTGAGGACGGAGATCAATGTAGCCTGCCAGGTTAGGCCTATGGCTGAGACATGCATTTTTACCAGAAGACTCTGTCCACGTCTTGTAACCATAGAAAAACCCGAGAAAGCGGGCCGGGAGAGAGTTGAAGCCTGCGGGGTCGGAACTTCGCCCAAATCAAGCCTGTGGCCACATCTGCCAGTATATATATATATATGGCGTCAGGTTGGTGTTTTAGCTAGTGGTCGAGGCACACCTCAAGCCACAGCCAGCTTTCTAAATATTTCAGTGCCAAAACTGCACCATTGTGAGCCAAACCTGGCATCTTTTAAAACTTGGAAGCTGATCGTCAACTTTGGCATGGCGCTGACAGAGTACGTGTTCTCGCCATCGGCCGTGCTGGCTATTGTTGGCTTGGTATTGTCATCTTATATTTTCGACTACTTTGTGACGAATGGAAAGCTGCGCGGGATCCCAGCACCGTTCGGCGCGCAGTTTTCGAATTTATGGCTATTGATGGTTTGCCGACGAGGAGATCGATACAAGACCGTCGACGAGTACCATGCGAAGCTGGGCAAAGTAGTGCGCATACAACCGAACCATGTTAGTATCGCAGACGATGCAGCGATTCCTACCATCTATGGTCACGGTAATGGATTTTTGAAATCGTAAGCAAAATCTGGAGTCTCGATGGAACAGATCAGACCAGTCACCAGACCACGTGGGGCTAACGCTGATGATTAGCGAGTTTTATGATGCCTTTGTGTCCATTCGCCGTGGCCTGTTCAACACACGAGTCAGGCACGAACACACCCGAAAGCGAAAGATGGTCTCTCACACCTTCTCTACCAAGTCTGTGGTTCAATTTGAGCCGTATATCCATGAGAACTTGGACTTGTTTGTGCGACAGCTTGACAAGCTGGTAGAGCAAAGCTCCCACAGGACACAGGATGGAAAGCCGGAAGCACACCTTGATGCACTATTGTGGTTCAACTTTCTCGCTTTCGATGTTATCGGTGACTTGGCATTTGGTGCGCCGTTTGGAATGCTTGAAAAAGGGGCAGACGTCGCCGAGATTAAGTCATCGCCAGATAGCCCACCGATCTATGCCCCGGCTATCGAGATTCTGAACCGAAGAGGGGAAGTGAGCGCAACGCTGGGTTGCTATCCGCAACTCAAACCATACGCATCCATGCTTCCTGACCCGTTCTTCAGCCAGGGTCTGAAAGCTGTACAGAATCTCGCCGGGATTGCTATTGCTCGAGTTGAAAGCCGAGTCGAGAATCCCCCAGACGTGGACCGTAAGGATTTGCTTGCCCGGCTCATGGAAGGCAAAGACGACAATGGGCAACCTCTTGGTCGTGAAGAGTTGACTGCCGAAGCACTGACACAGCTGATTGCCGGAAGTGACACGACATCCAATTCCTCCTGCGCTCTTATGAACTACCTGATCCGCGACCCGCGTGTTTTACAGAAACTTCAAGCTGAGCTCGACGCCTCGATCCCCGAACATGTCGATGTTCCAACATATGACATGGTTCGTGATCTTCAGTATCTTGGATGGGTTATCGACGAAGCCTTGCGTCACCACAGTACGTCTGGCATTGGACTGCCGCGTCAAATTCCACCCGAGACCCCCGGTGTTGTTATCCAGGGATATTTCTTCCCCAGTGGTACCGTTCTTAGCGTGCCCACCTATACCATGCATCACTCCAAGGACATCTGGGGAGAAGATGCGGACGAGTATAAGCCTGAGAGATGGGAGAATGTCACAACTAGGCAAAAGAACGCCTTTATTCCCTTCAGCCACGGGCCGAGGTCTTGCGTGGGACGAAACGTGGCAGAGATGGAGATGAAGCTGATTTTGGCCACTTGGGCAAGACGCTACACGGTTACTCTTCGACAGGGACCAATGGAAACAAGAGAAGGATTTCTGAGGAAGCCTCTGGGCTTAGAGGTAGGCCTATCACGAAGGTAGTATCAATGTATTTTACTTTTTGTTAAGAAATTGGATGGAACTTGAATCCTCAATTTCCGAGAATTGTACATGGTATTGGGTAGCGGAGTCTGTAAGAGCAGCCGGTAAGGGGTTACAAGACAGGCAAATGAAATCTATACTTGAAACTGCAGCGACATGGTCAAATTTTTACCTCGGTGTTTGCTCAACCACTTGATATCTACTCATCAGGCCCCTCCAAAGGCTCGTTAGAAGCTGATATCCATCTTGCTCCCAAGTCGGGGTCCTTCTCAAACGCCTTATCAAACGGCCACATGGGCCTCCGGATTCTACGATGACCCAGCCTCTCCAGATCCTGATCGACGCCACCGGGAGTCAAGGCCAGCATCCAGCCTTTGGCCATGTCATATAGCTCTGGCTCCAGATACCCAATCTTGACAATCACCACGTCTGCCGCCCTCGGCCTGAGGCCCAACTCGGTAAAGTCTCGTTCCTTGTGATACGGCTTCCGCAACTTGGTAAGAATGGCATAGACGGAGCCCACCTGCAGCACCACTTCGGTCTCGGCATCCCGGTCCCCATGCTTGATGGCGCAGACTCTGCCGGTCATTGTAAGCGGCGGCGCGTGGATGCTGTCGACCTCGCCGCCAGCCGTGACCGTGACTGTCGCGCCGACGCCCGCCTCTGCCGCGGCAGCCACGGCCTCTGGCCCCGGCACGCTCGCGTAGATGACGGTATACCCGGAGCCGGCGTCCTGGAATTCGGGGCGCTCGAGCAGCCGGGTCAGGCCCCAGGTTACGTCTCCGGAGCCCCCGGCCGTGGGGTTGTCTCCCGAATCCGAAATGAAATACGGCCTCTGCGAGGCCGGAGATGCGACTGCCGCATCGAGGCACTCTCCGTAGGACCCTGTGGGCGCGACGAATTCAAAAGCTGCACGCGCGTCCCAGAATAGTCTCGCCAGCCGCTCTGCTCCCTTGCCCACGGTGTGCTTGTCCCAGCCGGTGGCCATGACGACGGCACGATTCCGCGGCTCATCTGCCCAGGCGTACCCGACCCATATCGCTGCGTCGACGACGCCCTCGGTCGATTCTACCTCTGGAACAGCGGCGTAGATGTGCTTTGCTGGTTCTGTCCGCGTGGAGGTTTGCTCCCCGGGCAGGAGGACGGGAATGGGGACCCAGGCCTTGAGCGGCCGTGCACCGGGAGGTTTCGACTTCAAGACGCGGACCAGGTTCCTACACGCCCGCTCCTTTGTCTCCATGGCGTCTTCGTGGGGGGCCATCCGGTAGCAGGTGATGAGGTCGCACATGTGGGCGAGGTCCCGGGACACGTTTCCATGGAGGTCCAT